TGGTGGGTTTGCAGAACTGGGAGAGTTTTGATTCAGTGTGAACATGGGCAGGCCAGAGCGGGGCTGGAGCCAGGGGGCAGAGAGGCCTCTAGGGCCCAGGTCGTGAATAGACTTGCTTGTTGTGCTCAGAAGCTTGAACCGTAGCCTGAAAGCGATGGGAACCAAGCAGGAGCGGTCCAAGCAGGATAGTGGCACACCAGGTGCATTTTACAAGGCTCTTTCTGGCAGTCGCCCCTGGACAAGGTTGGCATGGGTGTGAGCTTCGAGGCCAGCTGGAGCAAATCCAGTTGGAGCTGTGGGGGTACCCAGCGTCCCGGCCCTCACAGCTGGAGGACAGCACGAATGGGGTGGCTGAGCCCAGCTGGCAGGAGCCTGGGGCGCTGCATCCACCTGCCCTCCCTGGGCCAGGTGAGGGATGGCCACACTTTTGGGTCTGATTTCTTAAAACTGTGGCTTCAGGAGGCAGTGACCTCAAGCAGAGGAATCTCTGCGCCCTCCGTGATGTCTGTGTGGTGGCTTCTCTGTGAATCCAGCAGGGACCCACAAACAAGTGTCCGTGCACATGCCCAAGGCCTGGGACAGCTGCAGGGAGACTCCTGGGAGGCCCAGTTGCTCAGGTCTGGCATGTTGTGGCCTATGTGTTTAGCATCTTGACACCAAGGAGTGGCCAGTGGCCTGTTAGGATGTATAGACCATGCAGCCGCCTTTCAGAAGAGTGGGGCTGGCATCCCCCACTTGGGAGGGGCCCAGGATAACAGAAGGAGTGGCTGTGAGCAGGCAAATGTCACTAGTAGAGCTGTCGTGACTCTTGGTTTGCTCCTACGCACCCGGTGGTTCCGTGGGGGCAGTGTCCGTGCAGCAGCAGAACTCTTGATGCTTTCGCTCCAAGCTCACCCACCCATGGGGCACCTGCTGAGAGTGGGGGTCCCGAGAGCTGTGCAGATAATACCTGGTGCTGAGCAGAGGGTGAATCAAGGAGCTCCTGACTTCCAGCCATGCGTCAGGAAAGTTTGCAAGAGGGTCACAACAGTCCTCGCTTCTCCCCTGGTATATGCCTCCCTCCAGCACCAGAGATTAGAAGAGTTTAGGCACAGGGTGTGCAAGTGAGGTGCAAGCAGCAAGCACCACATGAAGATATGACAAGTGCCAGAAACCCAGTGTCTGCCGTGATGGCCAATTGCAGGTTCTCTGAGGGTCTCTACGCAGGTGGCAGGGGGTGTGAGTGGTAAACTTAGTAGGACCAGCAGACATTAAAGATGAGTATAGCCTGCGGCCAAGGGGGAGGCCGCTTCATCTCCAGTCATTTGTTGCCACAAAATCTCGGGGGCCAATGTCATCATATCTTTTGACTCTTTAAGCAAATTGGAAGATCCAGATTCTTAGGAGATATCTCCTGCCTCCACTATTTCTAGATTAGGCTGTAGTAACAACAACCCCCAAAGGTCAGTGCTGTACCATGGCAGAGGCTCATTGCTGTTCCTGTTACATCCCAGCAGCTTTCTCCTCTGTCCAGGATCCAGTCTGAAGAGCGGATCCCTCCTGGATGTGCCCCCTGGTGGCAGAGGGAAAAGAGGGCTTGTACCCACCCATGGATGTCTTGCTCTCAAGAGGCACAGCCACTGCTGCTCACCCCACACCAGCCAAAGCCAGTGTCCAGGTCATACTCCCGCCTCCCACAGAGACACATTAACACCCACGCGGTCAGTGGCTGCCGGGCAGAGGATAATTGGGACAAGAATATGATCTGCCACCCTCTCTTTTTAAATGTTGGCAACTAAATCAAAAGTGTCTTAAATGCTAGACGGAATCAAACAAAACACAGAGAACCTCAGCCGCCAATTTACAGCCTCTAATTTAAGGGGTCAGAGGTGGAGAGCACAGTCTTGCTCACTTTCCGAAAGACAGACACTGTCTCAGCAGCCTCTGAACTTAAGAGTCTTCTCAAAAAGAGAAAAATGGTGACTGTGCCTTAACATTATGGGTGAATCTATACTGGCTCCTTGTAATCACTCCCTCCTTTTATAGGTGCTCGTAAATTCCCTTTTTAACAATCCATTCATAAATATCACCCAGCATCTAGGTCACTTACCACCCTCTGGTTTACAGAATTCCCCATCTTGCCTTTTTGCATTGAGGGCATTTGGCCGTGCGGGTCTGACAGTCTTGCTAGTTTTGCGCTCGGCACTCAGAGGGGAGACGGAACTTGAGGCCTCTTAGCACCCAAGGATCAAGGGGTCCAGGCTGAGACTTGACAGCACTCCCAGGGTAAGAAGCTCCTTTACATGCCCTTAGGGTCTTTGTGATAGGCGTGTGGCGGGTGAAGCTGGCATCTACCATTTTTTGGGCAAACAATAGGGTAGAATCTTCCATTCAAACGTGCATTGATCTTTGTCCAAAAAGAAAGTGCGGGGTTGAGGCATCTGGACTGTCCACCTTGGGCAGCTCTTCATGGGTCCTCGTGTCATGTGCATGTGGAGCAAGTCCCAGAGTGTGGGCTCTGGATGATGACTTTGGGTTTGGATGGGAAATGTTTGCTTTGGTGGAGTGTTTTCGTGTAATATATAATTATGTCCAAGCTAAGGCTCTTCGGTCTTGCCTGCAGGGAAGGGGTGGAGGATATTTCTTAACTCTTTACAAACGTGGCCGGTGACAGTGCTTGCATATGCTTGCAGAGTTGAGGGTGCTCGTTCCCTAAGCAGTTGTCTGCAGGAGCCGAGGGCCCAGGGACTGTGAGGGACACTGAGGCAGAGTGCTCCCCTCTCCCTAGAAGAGCGACGTAAAAGAGGAGGGTGCTGGAGACGCATCCCTGGCAGAGACAGCTTCCGCCCTCACATGGTGCCTTCGCAGATGAGGCCCCGAGCCTCTCTGGGGGTTGTTTCTGTTGGAGCCTGAGCTGCTGTGGTCACCACAGACTAGATCACAGGCCTGAGGGAGGGATGGGTTTCTGGGGGGGGGGGGCAGGGGGATGGATGTCCCAGGGATAATCACCAGAGAAGAGGAGGAGCTGGGGCGGGAAGCGAGCATGGGGAGGCAGGAGCGAGAACTCCTTGCCCTTGCCAGGCTTAGGTGGGGTGGGATCAGGGTTCAGCAGTGCAGATTTGACTCCAGGACACTTAAACAACGTGGGCGACTTTGCTGCCTGTGCAGAATGGGTGCCCTGCGGGGAGACAGTGTGCCTTACATGTGGTACAGAGGCTCCCGATGCCGAGCTCAAGCAAGCCACACGCAGGGCAAGGCCTTGTGCCCGCTGGGGTGGGGTGAGAGGAAGGCATGAGTTCTCTCAGACAAAGGCGCCACCAACTAAGCAAACCCCTGCCCACCAAGTGGGGTGTCCCTCCTCTAGTCTATCTGCCCAGCGGCAGGGCAGGGAGAGGGGAAGTGTTTTTGCTGTTTTGTCATCCCAGGGAAGTGTATTTCCCACAAAGACATCTCCGACGAGCAAAGCCAAGGTAGGGGAAGGGGGCTTTGTGCAAACGCAGTGCTAAATCTGGGCCTGTGAACCCCCAAACTAGCAAGATCTTTTAACTGTTCATTGTTCTCCACCTTTCATTTATTTGTCATTCATTTTGGGATGTTTATCAAGACTCGATAAGGGCTTCGGGTTGCCTGGGCCCTGCTCCTGCCAGGACCTACTCTTAATGCTGGGACAGAGCTGGAGGTGGGGCGGGGCAGGTGGGGAGAGAAAACTCCCAGGTCTGTGGAGCTTGTGTCCTAGAGGGAGAATTGACTGTGTTCTGGGGGGCTTAGAAGAGGCTGTGTCCTGCGCTTCGCATGGAGAGGCAGAGGGGAGCCCAGCACCCCTCACCCCGAGCTTGCTGGAGGCAGCAGCACAGAACAGCTGTCTGGGACTGCAGAGGCCCAACCCGTAGTAGCAGCAGCAGCGGGTGGGTATTCAGGGAGGTGGATGGACATTTGGAGCTGGCACCCCGGGCACCTCAGAAATAGCTGAGGATCACTTGGAGGGGGCTAAATCCTGCTGGGGCATTCCGATGTTTCATGGGGGGCAGGAGGGCTGAAATCTGCTCACAGCAATTACAGGTGATTTTGTCCCCTCTACCTGACGTTCATTCTGCCTTTTCCAGCCCGAAGATCAGTCTTCTTGACCGAGAATCTGGAAATAAAGTACAATTTATTTAGTTCTGCTTCCTTGTTCTCATCTGTTAGCAAAATATAATTAGTCCCGATTAGCGCCAATTAGCCTCCCTTTCCTCTTGAGCTGTCTGCTCATTGAGTCTCTGCTCACGGAGACCGACCTAACCTTCACTGGATGTCTCTGAAACCCGCTTATTGGTGGGTCAGGACCCTCACAGCCCAGCCAAGGAAGTCACCCGTCTTGTGTCTCCAACACCTCCTGGGTCCCTGTCACTCGCACTTCTGCAGAGCACGAACCAGAGTTAGGTTCAGGGGAGCTGTCCTTCCATTTCTCTCTCTAAATTATGAAAGATAAATCTGTCAGCCGACGAGGAGAATTTATCAGACACCCTGTGTCTAGCGGAATGAGACTCCTAGCTGCCCCCACTCCATCTTGCTGCCAGTCTTGTCAGGTGTGCCAGGAAGGCCGCTCCCACCTCGGAGCCCTGAGGGCACGGGCCCCACAGATGGACAAGCAGAGAAAAGTGAGGGCTCAGCAGGCAGAGAGCCATCTGGTGGAATTCCATGGGAGGCTTTTTTCTCTGCGGCGCTGCCTGGCCCAGCCTGCCCCCACCCCTCCACTGCTCCACTGCTGGTTTCCAGCAGCCTCTCCTGGCTTCCTCCTCACCTGCATCTGACTTGCACAGCTCTCTGGACTTAATCGCTTCCTGTCACCTAGTTCTGCCCTTAGGTTGACCTTGAGCCCATAGGGTAACTGACTGCTCTTGAGTAGATCCATTTTGCACCTAGTAGAGCTCTTGCTCCCGGGCTGCTGGTTCCCCTGCTCCCCCGTGTGAGCCATGGCACTCTCCAGAATATGTCATCCATTTCTTACAGCTGGCACCACAACCTGGCGCTCATGCCACAGCCTCAGCAACCTGTCTCTCCTGATTCTCTTTACTCCTCTCTCCACCCTCATGGTTGGTGGATTCCACTTGGGTGCTGGACTCTTCTCTCCCCTTCCTGCTTGTTCTGCCTTTGGGAGGAACAACACATCTATTGCTGCTGTCCCCACACACTCTCTGAGGCCAGTGGAACCAGGACAGGCATATCTGTCTCCCTGAGCAAAAGTCCCAGGCTCACTTTTTTCAGTGTCTTATACTCTGCACCCTGAGGTGTTGACATCCAAGACTGCAAATTGGAGTTCTTTTGTTCCTGGGAATAACCAGACATTTCTCCATTCTTCTTGTTGTTTCCATGTCTTTTATTTTATCAAGCTCTATAATTTTGCTGCCTTCACTGTGCTTTCTTTAGGACATTTTTGTTATTGTTTTTTTAAAGATTGTGAGAAAGATTCAGCTCCAACAAGATCAGTGATAGAATTTGTGGAACTCATGCAAACTGGAGGGGCAAGAATAGGGTAGGCATTAGTGATGACTGGAACTGGACACTCCTTGCCCCTTTCCTGCTTGTTGCCAGGCAGCCTCGGCTCTTCACATAGATGCCGGCAGCAATAAGCTCCTATGTTCTCAGCTTTACTCTTGCAACAGGGGAGAGAGAGCCTTGCTCCTCTGTTCAAAAACATTTGGGTCATCCTTGAGAACAAGGGCAAATTAGGAGGTCTGAAATAAAATGATGACTAGATTCTAGAAAAAAAAAAAAAGGTTATTGTCAGATAAACGATAAATGTCCACTACAGACCAATGTGAAATACATTATGGATGAGACCATCCCACAACTATTTCCTTGTAAATCTTCTTCCCAAAGTCAAGTTGAGTCTTTTGTACAGAAGTCATATTACTTTGGTGTATGAATGAGGGTTCTCTAGAGAAACAAAACCCATAAACCAATAGAATAGCAACTGGATGTGCACATGAAATATATTTACTACGTATGTTCATATATTTATTTATTATAAGGAATTGACTCACACAATGATGAAGGCTGAGAAGTCTCACATACTACCATCTATGAATTGATATGTATAGTCTGAGTCTGAGTCTAAAGTCCTGAAAACCAGGAGAACTGAGCCTGCGTGCAGGAGGGGATCAATGTCTGGCCTGAGGCAGTCAAGGGGAGAGAGAGAAAAAGGATGAGAGAACTACTGTTTCCTTTGCCTTTCTGTTTCACTCAGGCCCTTGATGGATTAGATGATGCCCACTTGCATTGGGAAGGGCAATTTGCTCTACTGAATCCACAGATACAAATGCTAATCTCTCCCAGAAACATCTTCAGAAACACCCAGAAATAATGTTTAACTAATTTGGATACTCTGTCTGACATATTAATTGTCACACTTGGCAATTTGGTTATGGAGATTTTTACCCCAGCACCAAAGGCCATTTGTGGGCAAAACATGGTGGGAGAGCATATTCTGGAAATAATGGTGATGGGTGGGGAAAGGAGAGAGGAAAAGAGATGATGTCATAGATTTTATACCTAGCTCAGCTAACCTAGACCAAGTATTCAGCAACATATTTTCACTGGCATAGACCAATTCAAGCACATCTTTGCATTTCATTATAGCAATGAGTGGCACTGGACAGAAAGAGAGGTGTTTAGTGCTAGAACAATGGTTTCCAAAGTTTTATATACAGCAGAACTCCCATTATCACAAAGAAAATAGCACACAGAACCCTGATATGTAATACAGAAGAAGCAGAAATGCAGTGTTGAAGCTTTCCTTGTACAACCATCCCCAGGGACTCTGGGTTCCACGGTGCTTGATGAAAGCAGCCATTACAAAAAGGGCAAGTTACAGTCTCTGCAATTCCCTTGGAATTCCCCAGTGTTGACAGTGTGACTTGTATGTGTGTGTGTTATTTAGGTTTTATCTCCACCCAAGAGATGGTTACTTGTTCTCATTGGGAATGCACACCTCAGGGATGGTTACCTAATATTTACCACCCCCTGAAATAAAATCCATACTAAAAGGCAAGAACTCTAATTTCTTCAGCTATTCTCTTCTCCAGTAATCATCAGAGGCTTGTGAGTTAGAATAATGGGTGTTAGGTAGGCTCTTGTTGGTGATGTGAATGATGCTCAAAAGAGGATGAGATAAAATATTAGAGTGATGCTCCCCCACCCTTGTAGGAATAGGATATAAAAATTCAACAAATGCTTCTCTTTCACCTGGATTCCATTCCTCAGCAATATTGGGAATAGGTGCTGACTCAGAGGATTTTCGTTCCCCTGACTCCAACTGTATAGTTAGTAGAATTCTGCTTTCACATTGTTACTATTTACTTAATATAAGCTTTCTTTGAAATGCCCTGTCATAGCACCTAAAAGAACATAGACCTGGGTTTGCATTGAGGTTACAGAACAGGTTTGGGGATTTTTCATCTGCCTGCTTGATCATACATGTTTATCATAGGAATCAGAATTTAGGGAGAATTTAATGTGAGACTTGCCTTTGTTGTAAACCAATATCTTAACCATTTAAGTTTGGGTCCAACTTTTGTGAGTTCTGACACTTATACATTTTGAGGGCCTTCATTTAAAACAAAGTTAGAAATACAAATACAAAACTATATAAAAAGTGAATATATAGAGTAAGAAAAGAAATTATAAAAAAAATTAAAATTTAAAGTTATATCATAAAAATCCAGAAAACAACATAATATTTTAATTAATTAATCCCTGATGATGCCACTCTATAAAATATATTCCTACATTTTGGGGGGCATATTCTCTTTAATGGCCTCTTCATGTGACAACTGTTCTGTAATATTTTCTACAGCGAGAATAATTCAGCCTTTCCTCTCACTTGATCAAAAGTTTTTTGTGTTATTAATTTTTAAAATTCATAAAATATGCAACATCAGTGGATGTTCACTGAAGTTCTTTCACAGGGCTGGTGCCCTATAAATAGAGAAATACTGATAACTTAAATTTCTTGTCATCTCTTCAATTAAAAAAAAAGGCATGGAGTTTTACAATTGCATACACTAGATCTACAGTTCATTCCTGACAGAATTTCCTTTACTAAGAATTGATGAGAAACTGAATCTCCTAATTATAATTCTGCATGTTTTGATAGGAAGAATTTTCCATAAACTTATCTCTGGTTTTGCATATAAAACCTTGTTTCTCTTCCCCTCCCCATATACATCCAGTGGTAGATATATTTGAGACAGAGACAGATTCAGAATCTGCCGTGAAACAGATTCATATCACAATAGGCCCTCATGTCCTGCATTTTCCCGTGATGTCACATTTTCCCATGATGAGTGCTAAGTGTATTCCTTTGCAGGAAATACAAGAATGAGTTAACTATTTCAGACATGGAAATCTCTGAGAACCACATAAATAATCCCTCGAAACAAAAATTAAATGTATTATCAACTCAACTTTGGCTGGCTCCCAAAATACTCTTGCTACTCAACACAACCAGACTAAAAGGAAGATCGGCTGAAAGGAGGGAAGAGGTTGAGAGAGACTTAGCTGGTTGCGACTCAAATTATCTGTTCTTTGAAAAATATATAAAACCATCTACCATGTAAATCTACCATGTAAATAGATTGCTAGGGAAATTTTCAGAGCCTTGGAAGATGCTCATTGAATAAAAGCTTTCATATTTAGTACCATTTGTTCATGGTACCTTGCCTCTGTGCCAACTGTTGAGGTCACCAGTATTTACCTAGTTGGGAGCAGCCAAGTGGTTTAGATTGGTTTGCTCAAAGGGGATAAATGGAAGGTGAAAGCTGCTGATTATAAGTATTAGTATAACAGTACCATATAAAATAATTGCCAAAAAAGTTTACCAAACGAGTTAGTCATAAATGCAACTTAATTTCAGAGACTACTTTTAAATTGCAATAAACTGTGGGTAAACAAAGAAGGGTAGATGAAGCGTAACTGGACAGGGTGGCTTTGAGGCAGCTTTTATAAAAGTTGAGACTTGAAAAAGAAAGGGGAAGGTATATTCCAGGATGCCAATGTCCAAATACACTGACGAACATCAAAATGTACACAGGGAAGAGTTAAAATTGGCTGGAACAGAGTATTCATAATAGAGGACATAAAAATTAAATTTTAATATGACCTCTTTTGATCATAAAGGAACAACTGGTATAAAACTAGTCCACCAAGTATTAACAACTAGGAAATTACACTAATTATATGAAATTGTTCTTTTTAGATATTGAAAAACAGGGATTCCTGAGAGGAGAGAGGTGGGTACACTTACAGCTCTGGCCTTTTGCTTTAACACATTTTCTGGTTGGGTTAGAGTGGCAGAAATCTGCAGAGATCACTGTGACTCTTTGAACCAATAATCAGATGTACAGGTTTAGGATGACGCTCTACAGACCCAGGCAAATAATGTCTATTAAGGAAAGATAAAATGTGAGGATCTATAAGCTGAACAACCACCAGAGCTCACACAGGATTGGGAGATATTTTAGTTCAGATCAACCAGAATGGACTTTGATAAATACCTGGAACATTCAGGTAAAACCCCAGAAAGAGTACACTTTATGAGGAGGGTTAAATTAGCTCTGTAGCAAAGGCTTCTCTAAACCCAGCTTTAAAAAGTCTCCAAGGAATCAAATTGATCTGATATTAAATTAATTTCTTGTCAGAACATAACTCAATACTCTTAAAAGGAACAAAAGAAAATATAACATTCACAACAGCCAACATCCAATCAAAACTATCGAACATGCCCAAATGAGGAGCTGAGACCCACAAGGAAAGGAGAATCAGTCGATAGAAGTATCTCTATGGATTTTAAAACAACCTTTATGAAATATATTCAAGGAATTAAGGAAAAACATGAACATAATGAAAAGATAAATGGAAATGATAAAAGGAAACAAGTAAACCTTCTAGAACTAAAAAAAAATAAAACCAATATCTGAGATGAAAAACATGCTAGGTAGGTTTAATAATACATTTCAGAAGAAAAGATTAGTAAATGTGGAGATAGTGAAAGAGAAAAAATACAAATTAAAGCCCATAGAAGGAAAAGACTGAAAAAATAAATGAAAAAGCCTCAGTAATATAAGACAGAATTCCTAGGTGCATTAAATAATGAATTCTATCAAACATTAAAGGAACAAATAATATTAAACAAATCTTTCAGAAAAATAGAGGGGAAGAAACACTTTCCAACTCATTTCATGAGGTCACCATTAGTCTGATATCAAAACCAAAGACATTAAATGATAATTGCAGACCAACATCCCTTATGAACACAGATAAAAGATCCTTAACAAAACATTAGTGAATAAAGTCCTGATATATCATTTAAATGATAATACATCATGGCTGAATGGGTTAAATTAACATTTGAAAATCAATCAGTGTAACTCAACAGAACAAAGGAAAAAACAGTATCATTTGACTCAATACAGAAAAGCCAGGTAATGAAATTCAATGTTAAGTTTTAAATATAAAAAAACACCCCAGCAAACAGGAATAAAAGAAAAGAATTTCAATCTAATCAAGAAATCTCTGGAAAAGCACTATAGTTTAATGCTGAAAGACCCGATACTTTCCCACTAAGACAAGGATGTTTATTCTCTTCTCTTCTACTCAACATTGTATCAGTGTCCCAGCCAGTGAAATAAGACACGAAAAGTAAATAATAAATAAGACATGAAAAAAAGCCTCACAGATTAGAAAAACAGAAGTTAAACACTTTTATGCACAGAGGACATTATTGTGTGCCTAGAAAATGCTAACAATCCTAAAAAAAAAAATCAACTATACTGATAAGTGAATTTAGTAAGGGTGCAGAATACCAGATCAATATACAAAATAAATTGTATTTCTGTTTACTAGCAACAAACAAGTGGCAAATAAAATTTTAAATGCTGTTTACAATATATGCCAAAAATAGAAAATAGTTAAGAATGAATGTAAGCAAACATATGCAGGATCTAGATAATAAAAATTCTAAAAAACTGTTATAAGAAACTGTTAAAAGATCTAAAGAAATGGAGATATATAGCATATTTGTGAATTGAAAATCTCAATATTGTTAAGCTGTCAATTCTCCAAAAATTAATCTAAAGATTCAATGGAATTCCAATCCCAGCAGGTTTTTGTTTTGTTTTGTTAGCAATTGTCATGCTGAACTTAAATCTATATATAAACACTAACCATTTTGAAATAGAAATTCAAAATTGAGAGGTTAAACTATCTGCTTTTGAAACTTGCTTTAAAGCTAGAGTAATCAAGATGAATAGTCTGACTGCTTTTTCTCTACAATGGTAGAGCTGAGTAGTTGTGACAAGGACCATATGGTCCACAAAGCCTAAAATATTTACTATCAGTCTTTCACAAGAAGTTTTCCAATCCCGGTGATAAATGACACTTCTGTATAAGACATACCACTATCTACCACTCCTGGCCCACTAGGAATTAATTACTCTACCACTTTGTCTGCTCCTCATTCAAGCATATTAGAATGCATCAAAGTGAATATAATTTTTGAAACAATCTTTAATTCCTTCTAATTCATTTTAAAATATAAATTGTTCATAGATTGTGGTACATTATAATTAAGAGTACATTGTTTGAAATGTCCTTGACAACTGTTTACAAAATCACAGTTGAAAACTGTGCTATTAAAAAAAGAAAAGAAAACCGTGCCTAGTGGGATGAAAATAATGACACATCAAATTTATATAAGATATAAGTTTGCAAATTAGGCATAGTATTAATAAACTCACTTTACAAATTTATAAGTGAGGACTCTCACTGGCAAATGCATCTATTAGAGCCTGCTATAAAGGTGATGAGGACATAATTAGGAAAAGCAAACTAATGGGCCAGGCAGATACCAGGCACAAACCTGTGATGTATTGAATGCAGACAATGAAGAGAGAGAATATTGAAAAAAATAATTCTGACAGTTTATGTGAGTCTGAGTTTTTAGATGTAGTTGCTTTTGACCTGATGGGAAAATTAGGAAGAAATATTTATTTAGACACTGAGAGCAGAAAGGTTATGAACTCAATTTGCAAGTGCTTAGAGTAATGCATTTCAAATTAATACACTTACCTGGGCATCTTGTTCGAATGTACATTGATTCAGTAGTTTTGGGACAAGCCCCAAGTTCTTGTAGTTCCAGTAAGTTCCCAGGTGATTTTGACAGGGCTGATTCAGGACTACATTCTAAGTAGTAAGGCATTAAAAGTGACTAATGAATATTCAAGTATAGATTATTTCTGGAAGATAAAGGAGCGTCCTGCTTTTTATGCATTTAGAAGGAAGGAGTCTATTGGTCTTCACTAAAGGCAAGAGAGCAAAAGGCCTGCAATCTAGAGGAACCGCCATGCAGAGAAGAGGAAGCTCTAGGGCAATCAAGGAGCGAGGTTAAGAGCTTTCAGGGTAAAAAAAAAAAAAAAAGGGGGCGAACCAGGGGAATGTAAGGAATTCTGTGAAATACTAAGTTTCAAGGTGGAGGTCAGTGGAATTACAACCTGGGAAACATCCATCTCACCAATTTTGCTGCTCCCTTCTCAATGCTTATTTTCTTTACTTTTTAATTTTTTCCTTATCTTTTATTTCTGTAGTTTTTCTCCAGTCTTCTCTTGACTACAGTAGATGGTTATTGGACAGTCAAAGCTCCTCCACCTCTTTTTCTCAAAAGGCCTCCACTGATCAGTATGATGATGCCTTATTTTATATGATGCTATGCCCAGTCCCTACAGCTGGTTGGTCCAGGCATGGACACCTGATGCTAGCTGGGCCAATCACAGCTCTTCCCTGGGATTATTGAAAATAGTACTTGATTATGACAGAAGTGGTTAGGCATCGTCTCTATAGAGGTAAAAGGTGCTAGATACAAAACCTGCTAGTTGTTGCCAGCAGAGTTAGAAACCAGCACAGAGAAAAACTGAAGGCAGGTGGTAGAAGAGGGCCCTGGTAGAGTTCCAGTCAGTTCAGCTATTCCCAAGTCCAACTGCATCCTGTCCTTCCCCATGATCTGATTATTCAGTGCTCCCTTCCGTGACCCAGAAAATTCCCCTATTGCCTAAGTGAGTTTGAGTCACTTGCAGCAGAATCCTGAGTAATATCCCAATCCATTTTCTCCTACACACCCCACTTCCCTTACCCTTGCCCCCACCCCCCACCCTGTTGGCTGTAGACATCTCAGGTTCTTCTAGAGGACACTGGGCCAGAAACAGCCTCTAGGACCATCACCCCGCGCAGTGCTGTGTGGGTGTCAGTGTGTCACTGCACACCAGTGTCCCAAATCCCTGTGTCATGACAACAGCTGAAAAAACCCCACAAAAGTCGGCTCTTCAGCACACTAGGGCCTCCCCGACAGATTGCTAAGACCCTGGGGGCAGAGCTTAATGTGCACAACTATTTGCAATGCACAATTTTCTTTTTACCCATTTAGGCTAAATTGAATTCATTTTGGAATCCTCAAAGTTAGTGCTTGTTGACTTCTCCCCTTTACTTCATATTCCAGGTACCTTTGCCCCAAACTGAAAGTCACTTCCACCTCTAGTTCCCTGAAGTCTCAGGTCCCTGGAGATCTCTCCATGGTGAGGTAACCCTTTAACTGCTGGGAAGTTAGAAAAACAAAGAACAAAAATGAAAACCTGCGGTTCTGCAAAAAAGCTCCTGTTGTGAGAATGTCTCCCTCTCTCCCCCACTTCTAACACACGCACACACACACACGTGCGTGCATGCGTGCTTGCACTCACACACACACACACACACACACACACACACACACACACACAGGACTGAGAACAAGAAGCCTACCTCCCACCACCCCTTCTGCAGACAGAAATGCTGGCATTCGTAAGCTGTCACTCTGAGGAAGACAGCAGCTGTGTTATTCTATGATTTATAGAACAGATTTGCATTTCCTTGCCTTTGAAGCTTGCCTATAATCTGCCACATAAATATTTGAAAGACAGGATGGTGGAAACAGACCTAAGCAGCTTAATCGAACACTTGGCAGGTAGAGGACTTGGACCCGTGTTCATTTCAAACATCCCCATTGCCCCGGGGCCTCTTGGTGTGTGTGTACCAAATTGAAATGCAATGTTTAAACCCAATCCTACAGTCAAAATCCCACTTGAAGGGAAAGCCAGTAGAATGCCCTTCGGAAGACGGGTTTCGTTTCATGTCTGGTATCCTGGGCCAAAAACCTGACTGGCTTCCTTAAACTCTACTTCAGGAAGTGGGGAACAGGGAGTAGAAGTGTCTCAGCCACTCCAAAAATCCCACCTGTGCAAATGGGGTGATCTGAGCTGTGCCCTGCCCCCACCGCACGCCCCGAGGCCATGGAGAGGCAACTTCACCAGGGAATAAGAACACTTCTCTCCCTGAGACTAATCAGAGCTTGGCTGGCTAATCCAGAGAACCACAAGGCCCTGGTGGGGAAGCAGGAAAGCTTCAGGTATTCCATGCACCCAATCCCCCATGATGCATTTCCCAAAATGGGGTACAAGGAGCACTTTCTGAAGTTGTTATAAGTTCCCATTAAGAGACCATAGCACAATGCCCTTTATTTTATTGTAAACACTATATCCTGGCATAAAAACATCAATCCAAGTTTGTTTAACTTTATCAGTTGAGCAGAAAAGATGCACTTTTACCTTCACAATAGTTCCATTAATGTGCTATAGAATAAGTAGAAAATAGGAAATTGTGCCCATATCTGATTCAAAATACCTGTAGATTTCCCTGGACATGCTATGAGGAGCAGAAAGGTGGTCTTTATTCTCGAGACAAACCAGGAAGGCCACTTGGGACCTAGGTTGCAGGGAGAGGACTCCAGGGCAGGGGCAGCAGGAAGAGTGGCCCCAGCCTCAAAGGATCCCAAGTAAATCCCTGGAGGGAAGAAAGCAGAAATGCATGAACACAGGCCCAGCTGACAGCCAGGAAGCAGGGTCAGCCCTGTCCTGTGTGAGGCTTGTGGTCCAGGCCTGTGGAGACCTCATCTGCAAAGTGAGAGGTTGCTCTTAAAAGACCCCTCTCCCTTTTGTGCTAATCCTCCACAGCAGGCCAGGTCTAGCATCAAGATTTAGACACATCTGAGGGTGGAGTGACCTGATCGCCTGCCTCTTCTAAGATGCCCATCTGCATTTCCAGAGCTCCAGAGAAAATGCCCCACAACTGGCATTGCCTGCATAACTTGGACCAGGGCTAGGAGGAGGTGGGGTTGATGACGAAGTCAAATGTGGAGCCCCTAAGGGAAGGCCTAATGGAGAAAGGAGCCTGGTTCTCCAGGGTCACATTTCCAAGTCAGGAGGATGAAGTAGGGTGGGGCAGGGGTGGTGGTCTCTACTGCCATCGGCCACCTGGAGGCCAGCACACAGCTGGGGTGTCTCACCGAGCCAAGCACCCTGCTCTAGGCTCTGTAGTATTGTCACTCTGGGGCCAGGGGCTGTTCTCCTGCCACTCCCACAGTCTAGTCCCAGGAAGGCCAACAGTTTGCAGCCGTGGGTGAGACAACCCCCAGGGACTTCCATAGAAGTTGTGGGTATGAGAAGCACCAAGCAGGTGGGTGTCCTGGGGCACTGAGCCAGGGACAGGCAACTGATGTTACCGTGACCTCATTTGGATACTCCATGTGCCTACACTAGTTTCACAAAAACTTCAAAGGAAAACACGATTTAAAAATGGATCTGATGATCACATTCTGGGGGAGTGGCTGGAAGAGAGGAAAAGAAATGACTGGTGTCCAGTGAAAGCCTGCTGACCCTGGAAGGAGGGAAGAGGACCTCAGCCTCTCTGGCCCGCCCACACTGTCATGGGCACGACTGGCTTGAACATGGCAGGAGCAGGTGAAAATCTAAGGGAGGTGCTCACTGTGGGGAGGGGAGTGATGGAAGGGGCATGGCCAGTCCCTAAATGGAATGAGATTTGGGGACCCAGCCCACATATCAATCCTCATGCCCACCTAGAACTAGACGCCAAAGAAGTGAGAGAGATTCACTCAACTAACAACCCAGAATACTTTCCTGCCTGGTTGGAGCTTGGCATCGGCACTGCCCTGCAGTCGGGGCATCTGGGCCAGCTCTGCCACAAGCAGAGGGCTACAAGGCATGTCAGACCATGGGACACACATAAGACACACACAGGAAGTATCCCACGGTTACCTTGCACCTGTCTCTACACCTTAGGGGAAACTCTGCAGCACTGATTAGCAGACTGACCCCATTCATGGGTTTTTCATCAGGAAGAGGGAGGCTTTTCCACTTTCTCAGGGCTTTGTCCTATTGTCCTGTGGCCTTGGCAGCTATGTCTCTAGCCCCGGTGGGGCTGCAAGCCCGGACAGGAGAGGTTCCAGGAAGGTAGAGTTCTTGCTGGTGATCTGTTTTCAGCCTGGGGCAGAGCTGGGCTGTGAGCCAGGAACAACTTCTGGTCAGTCATTAGGCACAGACTTTGCTCCAGTCATAAAGTCACTGTGTTCCAACCGCAGGGCCTTTGCACTTGCTGCTCCCTCTACCTGCGCTGTCCTTCCTCTGGATCTTCACCTGACTCCCTGTTCCCTACTCCATTAAATGTCACCTTCTCAGAGAGACCTTCCCTCATCACCCAGCCTCGTGTAATACTTATTTACTCTCTGCTATATTACTCTGTTTCCTTTTCAATACTTAGCCACAATCTATAATTATCTTGTTCACTGACTTACATGTTCACTGCCACTTTCCCCTGGGGATGTTAGCTCCTTAGGGGAGGAGTCTATTGTTTCTTGCTCACCACTGTTCATAGCTCCCAGTACTATGTCTAGTGCATGGTAGCTTTTAATAAATATCTGATGCATGAATAAATAATGATTGCATACCACTGCCGCAAATTCAGGGGTGGCTTATCCATGATACCCTCACCCGCATGCTTCTCCCTTCCTAAGAGAATGCCAGCTTGCTGACCTCTCCTACCCGTAACCATGTATTTCACTGAGCCAGTCATGGTAGAGCTTTCCCCTGTGCTGCTCACTGGTCAGAAAGGACATGTGATGTATTTTGGAAAGAAGCATGAGTAGAGTCTACTGAGTGAAGGGTAGGGAGTTCTAAGAGAGGCGTCTCCTCTGATGTGGCTGAGAAGCTTAGCGTAGCTGAAGAAAGCAGTTCCTCTCTGACGTCATGGAAGAACATGATTTCTTATTTGGGGATATGATAAAGGTTCTTGTAAGTTGCTCCTTTGTTACTTGCAGCCAAAGGCATTGGCACTGTAGGGACCATGGCACACAGATCCTCAGTGCTGGGGATGCCACTGGCCTGTAGACTCAGCTTTTGCTTGCGTTGCCTACATACTGTGCCAGGTTGTCGCTGGATTCTCCTTCCCCAACCTGTATCTTAAACTTTTTGTTAAAAAAATTAAACTAAGCACAGTCAAATACTAAGCACTCTTTGTTCTGCTTTTTCCCTCACCCCCACACCCTGTGACTTTTTTCTCCAATTGCATTCCTGAGAAACTTGAGAGCCAGCCGAGCTGTGTTATGTCTCCAACAACATTTCCTCTGTGGCCGTGTGGTTAATGACACAGGGCAGGCATGTACCTGGCTGTTGACCCCAAAGGAGCTCTCTCTGCTGAAGAAGATAAACACTAACTAGTGAAGCCCACACTGCCCGAGCTTTCTCAGACCTGGGAACGCCAGTTCTCTCACTCCCTCCACTGCAGACCTCCCTGTCTCGCCCCCTGGACAATCACAGTACCC